TTAGGGATATTACCCTAAGAATGGTGGGTCAAATGGAAAGAACATGGAAAGTGGGATCATGCAGCGGTTTTTAAGGATTCGGGTTTCCAGAGACTAGGGTCCCTGTTTGGGTCCCCGGAAGAAGGACTATGACATTTTGGGATCGGCAAGAGGAACCGTGTCTTTGGAAATGCCCATCTTGCTTTCTGCGGTATATTGGGAACCCTACTTCTGAGGTTCAGGGTCAGTTTTGGTAAGGATTTGCGATGTGTGCAGTACAGGTGTTGGGAGTTATGTTGCAGGGCTTGGGTCGGAATCTCTGAAAATTACGGGCTTGTGGGGCTCCTTATAGTCAAGACTTAATCTTGTCAGGATTATGTGCCAGGTGTTTTGACATGTCTGCTTAGTGGGTCTAGTTAGGATATGCAGCTTGGCTTTTGGGTTGTGTTCCATGCGCGGTTGACTGGAATTAGTTGAGTAAGCAAGCATGCCTCTTTCCACAAGAAAGCCTGCTCAGATCCCTCACGAGAATCTCACTGCACATTCCACCACCTAGCCCGAAGAATGTGGGCTAGGGCTATCACAACTATCGGGGCAGGCAGTGGAGTCTCTACCTTCTGTGGCTCGCAAGGGTTTACGAAGAGACCCTGGGCTTTGAAGTTCTGATGGCAACAGCCTCCCCTACAACTCACAGATCTAGAGAACCTTGAACAAAACCACCCACACTGACATAGGTTCATGTAACAATTGACCCCTGAAAATCTGTGTCCTGCAGGCGCAAGTATGCCACACCTGCACGAGACTCTCAGGGCATGGCATTTGCACCCTGCCTGACTCACAAGCCAAGCCAGGTTAAGAGACAGTTTTTTTGCGTCTGTGTTCGGGTCAGGACGTTGCCTTGAGCTGACACGATCTGACACTGGCACTCTCCCATGGAACAGAAGGCGCCCGTAAGGTGTAAGGGCTTTAGGGTCTGGGATGAAGTTTCACGGCTGCAAGTTTGTCTGTAATTAGCCGGGCTTTCACATATCTATGCTGCTATGCTGACTTGGAGGTAAGTGAGATTTCAAGGTGAGCAACAGGCCCCTTACAAAGCCCCGACGGCCTTACGGACAGAAGTTATGTTCCTGCGGTCCTCGTCATTGGATCAAATTTGGGATTGTGGCTTGGAGCGTTTGGGCGCCTATGTAGCCTCCGAAATATCAATCTCTATAGAGTTCAGTGCTGCTGAGTATTTCAGGCTCCAATGCTTAAACTTACCGAATGCTGTCTCCCCGCCGTGCTCCTCTTCGGAACCTCTTACCATTCAGCTGCAAGCTGTACTGCTGAAAGCTACAAAATGCCTACATTCCAATACCCTACAACCTCCAGCCCTAAGCCGTAAAACCCTCCAGCCGAAACCCACTAAAGATGGTTCCTTACTGTGAGACTGTTAGACTAACAATGAACCTTGTATTCCTAATTGAGTTTTGGCACGGAAAGAGCTCAAAACATTTGGAACCATGACCCAGAAAATGATATGAGCTACTTTTCCCACATAACTAGCGGACATCGGTTCCTATTAGGAGTATCCCAGTCTCCACCCCCGCCCCCTTAAGACAAACAGCTTGAGATTCCATGCTACTATAATGACGGAGACTCAAAAGGAAACACAAATCGACAATGGAATGGACACTGGGATTATTCAGAGGTTTGTACGGACATCAACCCGAGGCGGTGACAGGCATGAGCCATCTGCTCCTCCTGTCCGAGGCACACCTCCATGTGAAGGGTTTAGTCTTGGTGCTTGAACCAAGTAAGAACCATCTTAATCTACATTATTCTACACTGCGTACTATAGTATCTGTGCTTAAGACCCTGCTCTTTCTTGTTAGTTCCACACCCTATGTGGGTAAAAGGTTTATTGTGAAGGTCGTGCAGATGCATGTCGGGATTATTGAAGCTGGGGCAGTGGCCTTCACCAAGCAAGATAAGCAACATTGTAGGATCCTCTTTGCATCAAAAAGCGCTTCGTGTTTACTGTAGGGCCTAAAGCTGAAAAAAGTGGGTTTGGTGGCAATTTTACATCCTAGCTGTATATGGATTGTTGGGAAATAAGCTTGGCAATTTGTCATGCTTCTACAGTGCTCCCTTGACCCATCGATCTAAATCAATTGAGTAGGGGTTTTTGGTGGTTGAATCTAGTAAGAATATATTTCTTATATAAATTACTATACCCCCAAAAGGAGGATATAATCTTACTCTATATTGGGTACCATAGTATCCCCAAATTAAATACTACTCAATTGGTTATTGACCTCAAGCCGCCCATCTGATCATGCAATCCAACGTTAAGTGCAGCTGGCATATGGGTGGTTGTCAAAATTATGGTTCCGTTTTGGGTACCCTAAATATTAGGTGTCGTACTATAATAGGGACCCCAAAAAGGCACCATAATTTTGACAAGCACCCACATGAATAAAGGGCAATTGTTCAACAGCTGCCTGAACAGGAGTTTGGAATCTGGTAGTTTCAAAAACAGGAGGGCCCAAGCATGAATCCCAAAATACGATATGCCTCATGAGAGATAGGGAGCCCCACAAAAGCACCCATAATTTATCTTCGGACCCCCATGTAGAGTTCCCTTTCAACTTTTGAGTTAGATCGCGAAGACCCCTTAAGCCAAAACCTTCAAACTATCCCACCTCTAGCAAGGGCACCGCCAACTCTTGGAAGACATCTTGTAGGCACTCCTCCAACGGCAAGCAGCCATCAGACTTTAGGAGAGGTGTTATGACCCAATCTACTAGCTCAGGGGTCTTGAGTCTTGAGGGATTTGGGGTTTTGTTCAAGGTCCGTGGCGCATGGATTGTATGTTTAGGGTTTGATGACTATCGCACAAGGTACTACCTTACCACAGAAGTCAACCCGGCAAAAACATGGGTGCTTGTGCCCTTACTGACCATTGCGTGCACGATAGTTTTGATTGGATACTTCCTTAACTTTCCAAAATCCAAGGCACGCACATTAGGATCCCGACTACAACTGGTCACCCTGTATGTGCCTTCTAGTTCGGAAGTAAGTACTTCAAGCAACCTTAGCATGAATATCAGGAAGAAGTTCGGTGTTCATTCTTCTTTCTTCGGCTTTGCATCTGCGGCTGGCTCAAGGACGTGTCATCTATAAGCTATGAGTTATGAGAACGGAGCTAGCACCTCTTCATGGAAGGCAAATATGCTTCATCAAGACTCCCTTTCAAAATGTCCGCCCGGCTGCTCTTCTTAAGAAGCACTGGGAAGTGACATGCTGCTCAAAATGTCATCAGAGAGTGAGTCATCACAGCTGTTGACCAGGCAGATTTCTGCATTGCCGCTCTGCCCTCCCTATACCCATCAGAGTTGCGCTTGCTTCCCGTCCCGAACGCACCAATATGGCTAACTGTTCATGCAGGTCAGCAATTGGGGGTTGATTCAAAGGTCCTTCGGGGACATTACTTTCTCCAGGACCCTGCATCAACTACCCAGCACAAGAACACCCGAAACCCAAAACCAGCTTTCTGCTCACCACAGAAAATGCCCTTTTCCTCCAAAGGCTATTGCTCTTGAAGTTCGCCACTTCGACACCAACGATTCCAATGACTGAGGATTTAGGGTCCAAAAGTACATCAAAGTGGGAATCCAGACTACACCACAAAAAAACTGAGATTATACGCAACCCCTCCTTTGGGGGGGAGGGCTTCTGAAACGAGATCCCTCTTTTGCGAAGCCCTTCAGGCCAAACCCTTTAAACAAACCTTGCACTCTGAACCACAATGCTTAAATCCCAGACCCCTGAACCCTATAGTGATTTCCCTTTTCTTTTCCATGATCTCTAAACCCTATAACCCTATATAACCCATGAATAGTAGTTTCCATTTACTGTTCCACTAACCCTAAACCCCCCAAACCCTTAACCCTAAACCCTAATCCCTAAACCCTAAACCCTAAACCCTAAACTGAGAAAGCCGTGCCTTGAAGCTTGCGGAGATGCCTTTGGGCCCCCCGAGAATTGTCACACAAACCTCGCCAGGGTATTTGGTTTGGGGTTTATGGGGTTTGGGGTCCCACTAAAGGCGTTATAGGGTTTAAGGAGGGTTATAGGGCTTATATTTTGTTTGGATATTTGGTTTAGGGTTTATGGGTCTGGGGTCCCATGAAAGGCGGTTGTAGGGTTTATGTAAGGTTATTGGGGTTATGTAGGGTTTAGGGTTTGCCAAAATGAGGGGTTACCTTCAGAAGTCCCTGTAATAAGCATTACAATATTTTGGGGGCGCTATATTAGGGTCACCGTATTTGGGCAAACTACATGAAACTACCATTTAGGATTGAAGAAAGAAGTCCGGGGTTTCAGGTTCAGGCTGCTTGGTTAGGATTCAGGGTTTAGGGTTCAACATGTCCAAATCAGACTTTAAAGTTACGCAATATGTCAAAGTCCCTCCCAGCTTAATGTAAGGAGTACTGAGGTTATGTAGCGAGGCCCATCCAAACCCCAATTTTGAAAGCATTCGTATACCCCACCAGGCAATACGGTAGCGATAAAATGCTAGGGTTTGCCATCGAGGTGCTTCAAACTAGAAGTTTGGCTGAAGTGTATTCATGCTACGTTCATGGAGGAAAGATTGCACCACCCATGTGAGCTGTGGTCTAGCCCCTTAATATCCACCGGAATAACCCCTGTAATAGCCCCCTAAACAACCTCCTATACAACCTCCTCCTATACAACCTCCCGTTTACGGAGCTTTCACTGTAGCTCATGCACGTTAGGTACCCCAGGCAATGCAAGGTTGGATGCATCGCAAATCCAGGGACTCACGATTTCAAAATGCCTTACAGGTTTTAGGCTTTAGGTTCCTGCGGCTCTGAAGATGTGGAAGCACATCAAACGTCAGAAGAACTTTTCGCGGAATGCTGGGAAGCCCGAAGTGGGCCAGTTATTGCAACATAGATTGGTACACGAAAAAAGCAAGGAAATTTGTTTCTACTCCTCGCAAGCATTCGAAAGCATCAAGTGCTAGACTTGCGGTCAGCCTTAGTACCCTTGTACCCCTTCAAGACCTTTGCTCCTTCCCAGGCAGAGACACGCTCCATCAATGCTTTCGATTCCAATGTCTTGCGCCAATGTGACAGAAGATTGTAATCTTCACCTGCAGCTTTCGGACATGACCTCACTGGGCCTGACAGAGTGGCTTCAGGAGTTTGCATAAATCCTGCAAAGCCTTTCTTCTTGCGGCGGACACCACGGGGAATGGTACCGGACGGCACGCCCCATGTCAGTTCTCCATCTTCATTCTTGCCACATGGTTCGCAATAGTTGCTCAAGCGAATGACCTCAATGCAGCGCTCACGGTTTGAAGAGGTAGTGCCTTCAAACAGCTCAGGGTTGTTGCGCAAATAGTCCCGAACCTGCTTGTGCGTCCCTTTGCCGCCCAGTGCTGTCAGTGCCCGCATCGCGGCGTGTTTGGGGACAGCTGCCGCTGGATGTGCTCGAGTGCCACGTGAATTGCAGCGCAGGACAAGCCTTTAGCCTTCCAGTCACGCAGAAGCCGTAGCCTCGTAGCTGTTCAGCTACGACGCCCAAAGGCATATGAAAACACCTTGTAGTTTTATGACTATGCAAGCCTACAACCCTGGAACATTGGAAGGGCAGTAGCACAGAAAGAAAAGTGAAAATTCACCAGATGCGGTGTCAGGTAACAATATAGACCTGACTTGACTCTGAAGTTTTGATGCCACCTCCGTGATGCCAACGCCATTGGTGTCTGCATCGCTTCCAGATCCCCCACCTCCTTCACCGCATTCCGCAAATCTTCCTGGGCAGCTGCGGGAGACATAGCGCCAGTTATATGCAACATGGGCTGAGAGGACCCTGATATTACGGGTGTTGAATTGCGGCACACTCTCACAGGCGCTGATGTTAAGGCTCGCCAACCGAGTATGGCTACATCCTCTTGGACGTTGAATGATATGATCTCTACTAAGAAAGAAGCCCGAGTCCTGATTGGAGATCCCAGTCGACATTAAACCATTCACTCACACGTAATCTCCATACCTTGTTTGTCCCAGTGTTCGAGGAGGAGACAGGGCAGCAGCCACCGCGCACACGACCTCTGCGAGTTTTGCTTGGCTGCCTCCTGCTTTACCTGAAAGTTCGCGACAATGTTTAGGGCAATCCACGGCATGTCTTCGTGTACGGCTGTGTAGAGCAATGCTACTAGTGTCTCATTGTTTCGGGGTCAAGAATCTAAGCAAATTGCTGAACAATGAAACAATGAAACCATCAAAGCCTTTTGTCGGGCAGAATGTGAGGCTTTCAAGATAAGATGCTTGCAAGTCGGAGCTTTTCGAGACAGACCAGCTTCTCCCGGTTCAGCATGTTGGTCCACTCGTTTATCTTCCTGAAGAGATGCCGTGATGCTTCTCTGCTGCATCGTTTGGCCCTCTCCATTGGTGCAGCAAGCTCTGCTTGGTGGACGGCAACGGAGGCTTTTTCAGTCTCTCCATCGGAAGACCTCTCAAGGCACAACCTCTTGTGGTCGTCAAAATCTCTTGCCTCTCCGTCGGCTTCGGAAGACTCCACTTCAACTATGCCAGTATCGGTGCAACCAGCCTCAGTGTCACATGCCGGCTGGTTATTGCTTCCGTGGTCTTCCTCGTGCTGGCGCTGCCCCTCTTCTTCCTCGCCTTCCTTTTCCTCTTCTTCTTCGTCTTCCTCCTCCTCCTCCTCCATCCACTCCTCCGCGCATTCCTCCTGAGCTTCAGCAGCACTGGGCACAGTTGTTCGACAGCAGTGAAACCGCCGGAGCCTCCGCGTCAGGCCTTGCCGCTGCTGCTCCAGTGCTCGGCCACGAAGATTCATGCGTTCAAGTGCAGCTTGTGCTCTGGGCAAAACTTTTAGGAGCCGACATGGCAACTGCCCGCTCCCCAGCTTGGACAAAAACTTTTGCAACAGGCCCATTTCCATCGTTCCGGGAATGTAATATGGCGGGGCACATGCAAACCACGAAGCCACGTGGAATGCATATCTTCGCGCTTGCCTCTTGTCGCAGATGCGGGCTTTCCTAGCAAACCTCTGCAACACGCCACTCTTATCAGCTCTGCTGTGGAACTTCTGGGCCAGCTTTTCCGGCGTGTTGAGGCTTTGGACCCTCCTTCTCTTCATGGCCAGCATGAACTGGCTTGCACCTTCCAGATGTCACAGTGGATGTAGAATGGAAGCCTCGCCCGCAAGGTACCCTGCTCCACCACAACTGCTGCTTTGAGCGACCTCGCTTAGATTGCATGAACCCGCGTAGCGAAGCACTAGTGCTATCCCGAATAGAAGCAGTAGGGGACTGCAGGCTATGGCCTGGGAATACCTTGGGGAGTTTCCAACCTAGGTTGGTAATTGCTCAAGTTAGGACGTCGCAAGGAAGGCAGATGGACTCCTCGCAAGTAGTGCAAGCCAACATGCCCCTTCCCCTTTCTGAATGATCTCACTCAGCAAACAAGTTAGGCTCAACCTCATGCAGGTGTGGTTGCAGGTGCCGCGAGTCCATATCTATCGCAGCTGGAGCCTAACCTTTGGAACTTCGGGACTTGTCTTCACAACCATAAACCCCAATTCCTACACCTGAAGCTCGTTTAACCTGATCCGATCCCTAAGGCCAAGCCCAACACCAGGCCATGGGGCAGCACCGACTACACATCTGGTAGTTTCTCTAAATAAGGGGGCCCCAATATAGACCCCAAAAAACCATGATCCTTATGATTAGGACCCGGCAAAAGGGCACCCCTAGTTTTGGGAGACCCCCATGTTGAGTCCGGAGTCCATAGGAGAGAGCTGCAGCCTTGCAAGGGCCCTCTTCAAAGACCCAGCGCCCAGCAAACCTGGCCTCATGGCGCTCAAGGGCCGATAGAACAGCTCGCCAAACGGCTGGATGGCAAAAAGGATTCAGGGCTTGGATTTGAGAATGGCCTGCTGGAACTTGAGGGTTTAGGCTCTCAGACCTATGCTTAACGGTGCTCCGATGAGGTTCAGGGTGCTAGGGCTTAGGGTATGAAGTTTAAGAAGGTCACAACTCCTCAGATCAAGGTCCACCTGCTGAGGAGTAAGATACTTAGCATGAGCGCAGCCTCAAGGAGAGACTATATCATGGAAGAAATAAAATGGGCAGATTTAGTTTGTGGGGCTGGCTTGCCCAGCACAACGGCGGTTTCTTGACACCGGGCTTTTTAGGAATGACTACGTGAAATCGTTTATTTAATTGAAGAATCTCCCACATAAATTGTGTCTGCTTCAGCACCCAGCACCAAAAGATGCTTGCTCCGCCAGGCTTGCTGCGGCACAAATGCGTCTTCCCTACCTTTCCAGCAACCCCAAGGCATTGCGGCGTCCTCCCTAAACCCATAACAATGAACTGCTAGGAGCCTGGCTCCACACTGTAAGTCTGCTTATCCCTGGCACCTCCTAACGAGCACCACTCTAGCTACTAGTTTTGTCTATAAGAACGGATGTCGATGTATATCGGAATTAGAAAACATATTGGGCATGAGGGCATGGTTGGTCCTTGATATCAGGTTCTTAGGGGAAGCAATTGGTTGCTTTTTTGGAGGGAGCTTCTCGTCTCTTCTTTTCTCGTCTCTGCTTTGCCTGCTAGTCCTTTCGCGCGTGCAGCTTGCCGTGTTTGCATGTGCCGAAAAGGCGGCACAGTTTGGGAAGCCCTTTTTGTAAGGCTACCCTGCTTTTGAAGGATTTTGTAGGGGTTTGGCACCGGAAGCTTTTGCTATACTGCTCAATTCAGCGCTATCTGTTCCTGCAGGAAGATGCTGCTGGTGAAGCTTTGTGACAGGCTTTAGATTCTACGACTACCATGGATTGAAGGGAGACATGTTGGTGCTTCTCCCAACCTGCAGTTCAGAAAGCATCATGAGCCCCACGATTCTGCAGCCTAACACACTATTCCCAATCCCCAATCGGCACGCCTAGGTTTGACCCCGAAACTGAGTGCAATGGCACAAGCCCCAGGAACACAACATCGTTAAGAACTGCTTGCTTTTTGATTGGTATTGATACTCTGCTTATTTAATTTATGAACTTTGTGAAGGTTTCTGCCTCCGGGTCGGGATGCTTTCGCGTGGGCCCGGACAGCGGTAGAGCCTGCAAAGAGCTGTGCAAATCAGCCGGTGTCTGCAAGCCTTGAAGGGTCCAAAGAACTACCCCTGAACAGTATATTCTGCAGGCCTTCGTTTGATATTTGCTTCAACTACGGAGTCTGGCAACAGAAATCTTGCTCTGCCACTCTTAAATTGTGTCCCCGGCCCGGTTGGTCTGCTGACTGTGCATTCAGCTCCGGCTGTCCCTGCACATCAAAGAAGCTGGATGATGTAGCTATCACCGTAAATCCAATGAACTGTCTTAGCTTGGACTGGTAATTTCCCTAAATAGGAGATTCCAAGAAAGACCCCGAAATACAACAACCCTCATTATTGTAGGGACACCACTCCCCCCCCCTCCAAAAAAAAATACACGAATTCTGGGAGTCAGAGGACGTAGTAACAACGGAAAAGAAGCTAGAAACTACCATGCTAGTTGTTTAGGGTCTCGGGCTTGGCGTTTAGGGTCAGGGGATTGAGTAAGTTGGTTGAGAGTGGGGATATCTGGGGTTATCACGTAGCTCATAGCCCATAGCTTACAAATTCCCACTGACTGAGCAATGAAGAGCTAGGTGCTAACGTGCAACTTAGACTAATCTCTTCTGCGCCAAGGGATGGTATGACAGGCAACCTGATAGTAGCCCATTTTAGGAGCCTACCCACTGCAAGAGAAGGGACATTTCAACAGGCACGAATCCCATCATCACCGTCTCATGACTTGCCAACTTCATCCTCAGGATTTTCAAGCAAGATCACCATCATTATCAACATCATCATGGTCATCATCACAAGCAGTTTTCCGAACGTAGTGCTGGCATGCCTTTGCTATGTCTGCATGTCTCCACGTGACTTAGGAGAGGCGAGTCTGAATGTAGTGGTACTTTGAGGAGGACTACAATTACAAGACAAAACGCTTACAGAACATGGAAGGACTATTGAGAGGCCCTCATGCTACACTGGATTCTGAGGCCGTTGCCGAAAAAGGTTTCAGCGCGGCACCGTTAATGTCCAACAGCATGCCAACGACCTGGGCAAGCCACGCCACGAAACTCTTTTGAGAAAGATCGCATGCATAAGGTTCTCAGTCCTCCTTGACTATGTCATACAGAAGGGTCTGGCGGGGCTAATGAATGCCTGAGCTAGTTTGTGCCTCACAGCCATGCATGTACGTACTCGGAGAGCCTTTTCCCAGTCCTATTCATATGTAAATCACAAAGCGCAAGCACACTCATCAGCACCATGCCTTCAATCCTGCAACTTGAAGCCCTATGCGCCCGGAACTTGAAGCCCTATGCGCCCATCGGTGCACTCCAACCCCAGGAACCAACAACCACATATCAGAACATTGCCAGGAAGTTGTGACCATTCTGCCAACTGCTTCTGTCAAGCATAACCATGGCTATCGCACGTAGCAATTACACCCATATCCAAGTAACATAATCAGAAAAAAACGATTGAACACTGCGAGAAGAATCATGGCAAGGCCGTGCTATACCACAAAGGCCCAGGCCCGACTTTCCACAATCTATCAACTAAGCCCCTGGTCCGAGCCAGTAATATCTTTACAGAAAACATAATGTAGGGCTATATTGGTATAATGGAGAAGAAAATGGAAACCACTTTTAGTCACTATATAGTATATGTTTAAAAAGTTACACTCATTTTGAAAGGCAGTCTCTGCGCATCCCCGTACGGTAGTAATAGGCTAAAACGACCCCTGCATGAATCCTTTATGGCCCTTCCAAAAAGCTCGAAGAGGGCCAAGCATTGGGAGCGTCTCAAAACAGGGTACCTTTGCTGATCCTAGATATATGCGCGGATGGTGAACAGATCAGGCGTCGTACAGGAGAATCTTCTAGAAAGAAACACCAAGGGTTGAGGCTTCACCACCTAAACTCTGAAAACTAGGCCCCTAACCCCTAAATCGCTCGACCCTGAACCCTACATGGAAACTTCCGCAAAAAGGAGCCCAATACAGACCCCAATATTGTATAATCCATGTTATGGGGACCCCCAAAACGGTACCCCTAATTTTGGGAAACCCCCAAATCCGTACGGCCCCCAGGTGACCCTGCTGTTGGCCTGCTGTGATCGCAAGTATCCTTGCTCCTGGCCAGAAGCCTCGAAGGCACGCTTACACTGTTTAGGGTTTCAGGCTTAGTCTTTGAGATATTGGGTACTTCAGGGTTTTATAATGTATAAAGGGATAAATCGGGTTTTATAGGGATCCATAGGGTTGGGCTCGAAGAAATGCGTCATCAAGCCAGGGGGTGTATAGCAAGAGGTGATTTTTTAAGAGTTCAGAGTTTCAGCGTTGCCATATGCCTTAAGTTCAAGGTTCTGTAAGGCGCACAAAACACTGATGTTCCTGCTTTGTCACGGCCTCTGCAGCAGCACCTTGGGTTTTTGAAGTGGGCGCCATAGCAAGACCCTCATGCGCTGTGTATAGGGAAGCCCAAGGCTTGAAGTATGAACCTGAAGCTCCAAACCCTTGGTTCCCCAACCAGTTAGCACTGATCATCTGAAAAACAACGTAAACGCAAATGCAGCTTGGGAACCTGTCCAGGAAGTACCGCGCACCTTACAACGTGCAGCTGTGCATGCTGACCTGGACTGTAGGCGTTCATTTAGTTCATCGACACCCCGCGGTAAGTAATGCCGCTGGCAGCTACTTAGCCGTGCGAAATCTCTGCCCAGACGTACACGTCAGGGCGATGTGACTGTTTGGAGCTGACAGCACGCAGAAATCAGCGCCCGACTGTCTGCTGTTGGCTTCCTGCCCAGATTCACAGAAGAATCATGACCGCAGCACTTCTTCATGCTAGCAGCTCGAAATTTGACGGTGTTACCTTACCTGTACTGTTGAGTTCCCTTACATTGCAGTTCCTGGCCACTGCGGCAATTGCTCCGGTACCCGCCTTAGCAGTCCTGATGAACATGTCGTGGCGCAACGAAAACCGTCACAGCTGGTTGCTTGCGGATGCTGAAGATGCTACCCCGCCCAGAAGACAGACCTGTCTTAAACTGAGAGTGATT